TGAGCTGAAGGCCTGTACAGAGACCCAGCACAGGACAAAGGAGGATTATTATTAACTATGAATCAAGCAAAGCTGCTCTAGTACAGCCCGAGACTGAAATGAGCAGCAGGTCTGAGCAGCTACTGATGATCTGAAAACAAGACGTCCAACATCCACGTGCATAAAAACGGACACGGGGAATTATTTAAAGCCAATTCATGCACATTCAGGATGGATGCAGTCGGACTGTGATCACAAAACTGAATTTTAAAACCTGAAAAAGTTCATTAATGTTAGACAGTCAAGACGTTTCCCCTTCCTATACTTCATGCACGCTGCTGCAGGATCAGTTCATTCACACTCTGAATTAGATCCACATGCAGGCTTAGGGTCAAACAGTAAACCAGTGAGCCCATTTTAAAGCAGAGCTCACCTCCTCCCAGGTGAACTGCTCGTCCGGGCTCCTCTCTCCCTCCATGGTGAACGTCTTTCCCGTTCCTGTCTGACCGTAGCTGTCATCAATAAAAAAGATGGAAACAAAAGAGGTTACAAACAGGTTCATCCGGGACGGCTTGCGCCGCGCTCGCGTCGCGCTCGCGTATCTGGAGAGCACTCACGCAAACACGGTGCAGTTGTACCCCATGATGACCTCGTCCAGGATGGGACAGACGACGCTCCGGTACACTTCGATCTGCTTCGCAGACGGACCGAACACCTGAGGGAGAGAAACGCAGCTGCAGCAATGAGCCAATCCTCATCGAGAGACACTAAGAGCTGCTTCTGCTTCGAACGCAAGTTTTGTTACTTCACCTTAAGAACTTAAGACTAGGGCTGTGCGATAGGACCAAACTCTCATATCTTGATAAAACATTTATCGTCCTGACGACGATATAAAAACACAAAAATGCAACATTTTCTGTAAATTCTGTGAATCTCGGGCAGTTTTAGTGTTTCCAGCTGGGCGTCGCGTACCCGAGTCGAGTGTTTTAACCAATGCATGAAACGGCGCCGTTTTCTTTCAAAATTTGAGTCTAAGGTTTATTTTTAGCACCTGATGGCTCTTTTTTTGCTTCTCATCAGTAAACTCTCTGCATGCGCTTTCCTGTGATTCAGTTTAATTTGAAAAGTCGCAACAGGATCTTGAGCTTTATTGTGAAAGGTTTACATAGAAAACAAACAAGCGGAGAGCGGAGCCACGCGATGGTTTTACCGTCATTGCTGTTAACGACAACACGTAGAAACAGGCGCTTGTCTGTAGAGTGGCTATATTAAATATAAGAGAAAGAGAGAACTTTAAGGAATTAATACAGCCACTACAGTGACCATCAGAACCATGAAAAAAAATATTGCTGCAAACAGTTTATTTTACGACACCACGAAACAAACGACAGCGTAAAAGGAAACGATAGATGTTTTTATATCGTCATCAGATATATATCGTTATATCGAACAGCTTTACTTAAGACATAACACAACAGGGGAAACGGTCAGCCAGATGTGCGAGCACAGGATGCGCCGTGTCCATTTCTCCTCTCACCATGTCGAACGTGTAGG